CACGTAAAGGGGCGCGAATTCGGTGATGGATTTGTGGTGGTAAGGAGACTCCGTCGTCGAGTAATGGCGTGCACCCTGGTGGACGAACAACACCACAGGCGAGGTCATATCGCTCATCTTCGCCCATGCGCCGACGGAAGAGAAGGACGACACGTCCAAAGATCTCTTCGGGGGGGCGCTTGGAGTGTTCATATGAGCGCTCTTCTCGACATGATATCAAAATAGTGCTTGGCGATTTCAATACCAATATGAGCAAGGAGGGGATTTTTGGAACCATCGTCGGACTTCATAGAGAAGTCTGATAACGGACTAAAGCTGATCGACTTCGCCGAGACCCGAAACATGATATATTTGCAGTACTAGGTTCCAGCATAAAAAGATCCATCAAGCTCCATGGCTAACTCCAGATCGAAAAACGAGAAACTAAATCCATCATGTTGTGATACACGGAAGGCACGCTTTCAGTATTTCAAACGTACGTACGCACCGAGGGCTAAACATCGACTCGGACCACTGTCTAGGAGAAAATGTGCGCCCAACAATGCAAGCAAAGTTCAATGCAGAAAATCTGCCATAACAACATACAGTCATTTTGTTCGCCACTCAACCCTCACACCTGCTCTCTGAAAGCGGTCCGAACATGCGAGGAGTTGGACCACATTTCCCGCTCCATCCATCTATTTTTCGATTTCTAAGCTGCACGAACTTAAGTTGTCTTTATGCTGCAATGTCTGAATTTGGTATTCCCGCGAAACTAGTCTGGCTGTGTAAAATGACGTTGATCAATAAACACAGCTCCGCCAGAATTGGGAAGGACCAATTGATAGATATCAAACGAGGTTACCGAAAAGATGAATCCCTTTCAAGTGATTTCTTTAATCTGTTTTTGGATTGCTAGAGATAATAAGAGTTAACGAACTGAATCGCTCAGGCCCATCACTTTACAAGAGCGTACAATAGCTGGCGTATGCCGACGACATCGACATCATCAAGCAAAGCGAATGGGTTTGGTGGTGAACGAAGATAAAACGAAGTATCTCCTGTCATCAGACAAACAGTCAAAACATAAGGGTATTGGCACCCACGTCACTGTGGTTTGAAAAAAAGTATACGATTAGTTTATTTAGGAACCAGCAATAACACCAAGAATAATGTCAGCTCTTAAATCCAACGGACTGAGTAGGCAATTGAGTAGTAAAGTCATCTCTCGTCGTACAAAAATCACACTCTATAAGTCACTCATCATGCCCAAGGTGGGGTGTATAGCACGGAGGCATGGAAAATATAAAAAAACTGATGAAGCGGCTCTTGGAGTTTTCGTGAGAATGAATCTGCGTTTTTTTGTGCTTTGGGGATGACGAATACAGCAGACGGTTTAACGATGAGCTGTAAGAGCTTTACAATGCTATAAACATAGTGCAGCGAATTAAAATTCAGCGGCTACGCTGGCTAGGTCATGTCGCTCGAATGGACACCTTCACTTCCTTTCTGAAAGTATTCAGAAGTATCGCAATCTTGGTAACAGAGGAAGAGAAAGATTTTTTAATTTTGGAAATTCGATCTTATTTTTTTCACAGTGTATGTGATGAACTCTGCATAGTTGCGGAACTGATTACCAAGCAAAGTAATTAATGTTACCATTTCCTTCGCCTTTATAAGAGCAATCATAGTAAAAATACCGGAACAACAAGCTTGTAAATACGTATCTATGTATGTATGTATACACATACCATATACATTCATATCGAATGCATGCCTGTGCATACTATATGTAGATATGTAAATCGTGTGCACAGGCATTTATAAAGGTGTCTGGAAGTGAGCATTTAGTGATGACTGAATTTTAGTACATCAATTATATGAGACGGAAATTATGCAAATAAACACATGCATCCATACGTATGTACATAAATACATACATATGCACATGCACATATTGGGCAAATAATATGCATGTAGATATGTATTACAAGGCGGCATACACTAGGCGTCAACTGAGTTGGAAGAGACACACTTTCAAGTGTCATACACTTCTGCCACAGTTGTTGATACATATGTGTGTATGTATGTATGTAACTGCAAAAAGAAACTAAATGAAAAACTGCAATGAGAAAATACGCAACAACAACCATGAAATTCCAAAAAAAAAAAAACACTACAAAAATCAACAAAAAAGAAAATGCATGGCAAATGAAGTGCTACATAGAAGTAAGTGCAGCTAGACGCGGCGCAACTGTGTCACTTTTTCACAACTCATCCAATTACCGACAGGACAGCAGAAATGCTCGCATGTAGCAGCAGTGGCATACACGTTCGAGAAAAATACTCTTGAATGGCTATGTATAATGGAAATGTAAATGAAAGTAGCATTCAAGTGAGTGAGTAGATTTTTCACTATGCCGCCTGATGCTGTCGAACGAATGAATGAATGAATGAATGCTTCTAAGAGTGGGCTAGGAATATCTAATGTGCCTCACACTGACTTTCTACTCACACTCAAATGTGCTAAGAGATATACATACATACGTTTGGCACATTTGTATGTTAATATTGGAGTTACTAACTATTTGTGCAGACTTCAGTGCTTTCATAATCAACTCATTGACAGTGTCGGCATCCAGTGTTTGATGCAGCATTCGCTAGCGACAAACGTCGAGTGGCAAATAATTTTGGTTAAACACTGCTCCTTTTGCTGTCACATGTGGATAGGTACATATGTACATATGTAGAAGGATTATGCAAGAGTTTGCACTTGCAACGCATTTAATTCCCTTAAGTGTGCTATATAATAACTTTTGCATATTGACAAAGCGGCAAATGCAATAAAATATGAGGTGCGTGTGGCATGTTGCATCATAGCAAATTCGCTCTCACATCTACATATGTAGATATATAAAAATGTACTTGCATTCACATACATACATACCAATCACATTACTACATATTCATCTGCTACAGCTGTGGCGTAGCAGAACGCTCTTTTGCTTAGATTAGGATATGCTGATGCAGAAAATGCGATTTAATGGATTGGAATGTATTTATTTACTTACCTACTCACTTACTTGTTTTTGACAAAGTTTGCAACGAACTTAATTAAGTTCAATTAAAAATCAAGAAAATAAACTACAGTTACGAGTTGAGCTGGTACTTCCCCGTTGCTTTTCACAAGTCTGTGCAACTGCATACATACCTACATACCTATATAAAGCGAGTTGAGGAAACTAGAGGAAGTTTGCAACATTCGTTTAATAAAATCTTTAGCACATAAACATACAGACTCACTAGATATTTTTCTGATGCTGCAGTTAATGAAAAGTGAATAGATAATTAAAGAGACTCCATTCATATTTGATGCTTAAATAGATGTGGCAGAATCGCTGCGTTTTAAAAATTTACTTTCTTTTAAGCAAAATAAATTTAAATCGTGTATCTATATCTATACCTACTGATCCATATATTAATACGCGAACATAAATTTTGTCACCGTTCGATTTCAAAACCAAGAACACAATTGGAAAGGTAGGTATTCCTTTCTGTAGATGAGGAGTTTTTATGGTTTCAAAATTGGTTGAAAATTACGGCCAAAACCGTCGTTTAATCATTTCCGTATTTGTGTATAGATGTTGCTGCAACATGTTCAATTTGACATGTTTCGCATGTTGTTTCACTTCGTATTTGAAATTAAACTTTACAGATAAATGAGTCTTGCAAAGCCCTTGCATGGTGCACAGATTGCACGGATTGCACGGTTAAAACCGGTTTTCGTATGGGACAGCTTTGCAAACCGTGCAATCCGTGCACCGTGCAAGGGCTTTGCAAGACTCAGAGAATACCCCTAATGTAATGATGAAGAAATAAATGATAAGGATGAGGACAAAAAAGAGATAGCAAAAGTGAAGATAAAGCTATTAACGGAAACAATGAGGAATGCATAATCATTAGGTTCACTGAAAGAGTAAGAAAATTTATTGAAATTTTTCGATACAAATCGAAATAAATTCAGTCATAAAGGTTACCGAAATGTGTCGAATCATCGAAGTTAATAGTTATCGAAATTTCTCGAGTTATGCATGCCGATTGAGTTATCGGAACGTATCGAATTATTCAAATTAATCAGCCTTCACTGAGTTGTCGAAATTTATGGACACAGAAACTTAGTTGCCGAAATTTAGGATAGTTATCGAGCTATAAAAACTTACCGAAATTTGTTACGTTAAAGAAATATATCAAGTTATTGATATTTATTGAATCATCATTATTAATCGAGTTATCGTAACGCATCGAGTTCTTTCAACTTACGGAGTTATCGATAAATATTGATTATTGAAATTGGTCGATTTATCGAATCGAAATTTATGGAATTTTCAAAATTAATCGATTTATAGAAATTTCAAGGTTATATGAGTTTGTCGAGTTATCACTGCTTATCGAATTTTATCGCTTTAACAGAGTGTAGCAGGTTATCGAAATTTTACGATAGCTTTCAAAAAATGTGGAGCTGTCAAAATAAAAAATTTATAAAGGCAGATATCCAAAGATATATACATTTTTGAGTTATTGAAATTTATCGAGCCCTCGAATTTCACAGGGTCAATTCAAAGATATACAAAATTGCAGTCACGTTTTAGTCTTAAAGCAGAAGATTTTCCGGTATGTTACTTTGTACCTTATAAGTTTAGCTACATGTTAAGTTCGAAAACCTCTGCAAGGCTATACAAAACTATAAAAACCAGTAATGGCACTCTAGTATTTTTTTTTCTAGTATTTTTTGAGCAATAAATAAAACTGTAATTGATCATTAAAAAGTATTTTTTAAATAAAAGTTATAACAATTAACACTTTTCTTAAGAAAGATTGTTTAAAACTAAGCGTCTCCAGTGCCTACAAGTAAAGATATAACCCCGGTGCTTGAAGAAAACCAGTGCGCCTATTCTAGTGAATGGGGTGTATCTCTCAAGTGAAATTGGTTTAAATAAAAAAAAAAAACATCCGTTGTCTAATTAAGTTTTAGAACGACCCATTTTATTTATACCACTATTTGCAGTCGCAAAATGTTTACCTTTCATACTTTGAATCTAAATTATTTTACTTAAATATAATTTTATTTTTCGCTTACTTAATCAACTGTGAAGGCGCAAGCAACTACAAACACATGCGCATAGTTATGTCATCATAGAATTTTTCAGACATTTACCTATTTAGTAAGTTAGTTACCATAGATCTCAACAGTGTAATCAATACCTTTATTACGCTGGGATTTAATGTGCAGAGTTACATTTCGGTAACCGGGTCCACCTTGGCGTATCTGAGCATAGCCACCATTCTTGCGCTTGTGATCGATGGCAACCACCTGGCTGATGACGTAGGGATTGTAAGTGTTCTGAAGGGAAAGATATGTATCGTTAAAATGCAGATGTATTTTTTTCCAATAAAACATTAAAACATTTTTCTACTAAAATTTCGGTTTTCATATACGCGGAGATTTAAAATCTATTTACCTTAACAGGGAATTTAACATCCACAGAGAACTTGCGCAAGAAAACGGATTTTTTCACCACCTGCGTGCGATAGAGTAAGCGATCGTAGTAGCCGCGTTGTCCCCAAGTGCTGTTTGTGGCCAAGCTGGTGGCGACCAGCGCTACCAGAACAGCGAACGAAAAGAGTGCAATTGTTGTGCAGGTCTTCATTGTTGGAATTAATTAATTTTCATTATGATTCGTTTTACTTCACTTGCGAATAGTTCAACGACTGTTGTATTACTGTTGTTCGATGAAAAGACACCTGTTTCTTTTATAAGAACCACTTTGTCGCCATATGTACATACATACATACATATATCACCCCGCCCGGAAGTCTGTTGATGCTATTTGTTTTTCATACTCGTGGAAATACTCGTATTTACATTCTCCACAAAGTTATTTACTTATTTATTTATCCACTTAAAGTTTTGTTAATTTTGATAAAGAGAATTTGTTGCAATTGCTTATCATTTTCTTAAGCCCTTTTCTACTTAAATGTTTCCGAATTGCTTTCACTTATTATTTCCAAGTTAAATGTGATTTCTTTATTATACGCGCATTTCTGCGAAATTTTACGTTCAAGATATATACAAAAAAGAGCGAATACCATTATATTGTTAAATACTTTAGTACGAGTATTTACTTAAGTCTGAAATTGTGCATATCTGAGAGGTGCTATAGAGCAGGGGTTCCCAAACTTTTTCACCGCGGCACCCTTTTTGTGCTAAAAAAATTTCGTGGCACCCCGACTCTTCAAATGTCTACGAAGTCTGGTATTCAAAGTGCTGTCTTCACTGATGTCCAGAAGGTTTTCAAAAGCTTAATTTATCATCCCAGTATGTTTACTTTTGGGGTCACATGACAATGGGTTTGTTATCTAGCTTTAGACATCCTCAGAGTCCATGTTGGGAAATTCGACATTGGTTTTTTCTAAACCTTCCAAGTTAACGCTGGTAATGCGCATTAACGCTAAGAAAATAACTTTTATCAGTTTTCTCAGCGTTAACTTCGAAGTTACATGCGTTTTTGTGATTTACTTTTGCTTTATTTATGGAGTTTTCATGCAAATCGCTAGACATTCTAAAAATATTCTAAAAAAACAAAGATGTATTTTAATTTCGCAGGCCTCTGTTAACTTCGCAGCGTCATCCAATATGGGTTTTAATTGTAGTGGCGGCATCTTCCTAGTCAGAGGCGTCTTCTGCCTTTTGCTTCATCCTAGAAATCACTCCTTTCGTTTTTCCAATCACTGCGGCTGCTCCATCACTCCATCACTGCAATTATCCGCACACTTGCTCCATTTCAAACCATTTTCCGTACAAATTTGTCGATAGTTTTTAAAAATTTCATCGCTGGGGGTGTAAGTGTCAAGCACTTCGCTCATCAAAAGTTCTTCTACACACGTGCGCGAAGCTGCTGCGTTTGATACGAGAACAGCCCAGCTGGCAAAAAATCCGAAAATTAATCCGAAAACGGAATAAACCGAAAATGGTTGTGAAAAGGGTACGTTTTCGGCCATTTTTCTGATTCAATTTTTCGTTGATAAAACGTACTGGGGAACTACACTTAAAAGCGAAATACACCACACAAGCGGCTTGACAAACCAAGCGAAATATCCCTTTGCTGCAAGCCATTTGTGTTGTGTATGGGGTTTGACGAGCTGCCGAAGGCGATTTTAATAAAAAACTAAATTTTTTGACTTTCTGGCCGACATGTTGAAATTTGCCCGCACCACTAGCATACTCAAGCCACTAGCGGCACCCCAGGCATACGCTTGCGGCACCCACTTTGGGAAAGCCAGTTCTGGAGCGTATGAAGTGTAGTGAGTCATATTATTTTTTCTTGAATACATCTGCACCTGCATACATAACTACTTGAAAATATCGGAAGTTATACTTTGGCAGCTTTTGGCAATGTCTTAATAAGCATTACGAATCACATATATTTGATGATTGCATTACTACCCGTATATTGAAGTAGGTATATATGAAACTTATAGGGGATTCACAAGACGTGTTAAGCATCACAATCAGTGTTGCCACAACATTGTTTTATTTTTTTAAGGCCCGTATGCAAGTTCCCAAGAAAAATCACCAGAATTTTTTAGGTTTAGGTTTTCTTTTGTCGTTCTTCCATATAAAAATAAATTTGAGTTTATTCGTTATATGGAAGAAAATGGGAGAAACCATATTTTAAAAAGTCAGCGGCAGTTTTTAACCAACGAAAACTTGCATTTTATTCTACTGGAATTCAATGGTCTGCAAAACTGCATACAGAAAATTTTTCTAGGAAATCGAATTAAAAAGCTCGACATTTTTACGAAAGTTTGTTGATTTTTATTTAATAATTGCACAAAGCTTGAACCTTGGATTTACACGGTTGTTAACTACCTCCTTAAGGCGGGGGTGCTGCGGGGTCTGGTGCATTTTGTCGGGCTCCTTCTCGGAAAGAGAGCTATTCTATCAGAACTTGGGGATGGTTCCATTACAAAGTATGTGACCAGAGGCACTCCTCAAGGGTGCATTCTATCCCCTTTACTATGGAATCTAACCGTTAACGCCCTACTTCCTTACCTAAAGTGCACCGGCTGTCAAGTCGTAGCGTACGCTGATGACATAGCAACCGTGGCAACGGACAAACATCTGTAGGTCCTCAGCGAGTTATTTCAAAGCGCACTCAGTCTGGTAAACATAAAATTCCTATATTCAAACATTCCATCCTGAACGGGGTGGCACTTACTCTCTCAACCGAGGTTAAATACCTTGGAGTTATTCTAAACAAGAAACTAGACTGGAAGCTGTACACTGAAGACTGCTCCAGGAAGGCCAATACCGCCCTGTAAGCCTGTAAGACGGCTATAGGCAAAAAAAAGGGGCATAAAACCACATATAGTACACTGGATGTACACGGCTGTTATAAGATCCATCCTTTTGTACGGAGTCATCGTATGGTGGCCTGTGCTAAACAACACTTTGTCCAGAGCCAAGGCAGATGGCGGCTGTCATGCTCGTCACGGGATCACTGCCTACTGCACCCATCAAATCTCTGGAAATAATGTTAAATCTTCTATATGGCACATTTCGGGCCGGCTGCAGTGCGGCCATGTTAAATACGATCCAACCGCAAAAGTACTTAAAACTCTACCGAATAATCTACGACGGTAAGATTATACCACCCCTCTAATATGATTAGACAACAAATTCTCCACAAGAATCCCAGAGAGAAACGAATGCGAAGAGGCCCAGGGTCCACGGCTATATATACAGATGGCTCCAAGCTTAACAAAATAGTGGGTAGCATGATTTACTTTGACGAACTCTAAACCTCAGTTTTTGTTTACCGGACCATTGTAGCGTTTTTCAAGCAGAGCTAAACGCCATAATGGAAGCGGCTCGGTGGCTCATAACCTCCACCCCTCCAGGATGGTCTATCGCTGTCTATTCTGTTTCTGAGGGGGACGGAAATATCTGAAGTCAACTCTGCTCAGAATGCGAAAATACATCTAACGTCCTGCAAACACAGATTAAAGGTTGAACTCATCGAGAAGGTAAATACCAGATGGGCTGTGAAATCCACCTGCCATACTAACAAACAATTTTGGCCAAGGATTGATGCTAAGCGATCCACATATCTCATTCGGCTGGACCGCTCCTCTCTCAGAAAAGTAGTCGGGGAAATCACCGGACACTGCCTGGTGGGCACACACGGAAAAAGGTGAGGACCGCAACCAATTCTTCCACAGGTACTTTCTAGATTGTTTAACCGGCTTAAACTCGGCAAACGTCCTCGGCTCTTTGTGCTATAAAAAATGCTTTCGGTGGTCCAATTACTAAGGAAGGGAAAGAAACAAATGACTTCGGCCAGTGGCATCACAACGGGCTCCTCCAGTCTACGTGTGCTCCGTGCTCTGCGCCTAACCTATTGTCACAGTATATCTCTCACAATAACCAGCTACTGGAGGCTACTGTTGGCTAAACAACTTCGTTTCAATCTTCAATGCGTTTTCTTCGGCATATGGTTTCTCAGACCACAAACATACATATGTATGTAAAAATGTGGGTATACACTCTTTAAACTCGTTTTACAACAAGATGTTGTATTTTATTACACAACCGATTATTTTAAATGTCTCCAGCATATTTAGCAGCATAAATACCTGGGACTAAAAGCTACCGTTTTGTGAAAGTCATGATAAAGTGGTGATAGTCAGAGTAATCCCGAATGCATTAGTGAATTGTTAATAAGAACATTAACAAGATCTTGCACTAAAAGGCATTTATAAAGCTATGGATCGAGATGGAGTGAGGTATATGTATGCGTTCATGTTATGAGAATGGTGCTAGTGCATACATTCATAAACGAGTAATCTTCAAATTGCAGCACGTTTTGATCGAAGCAAAAATGTGAAAAAGTAACTAAGAAAAAGCCGACAACTCCGCGCTGCTACTGCTGTTTCTGCTGCTGCAGTTCAACTTGGCCGGAAAGAGGTGTGCTACGACTACTGAAATTAAGATAATTGCGCAGATACAAGCAGCCATGCGGCGGCGGGGGCAACGCCACAGTCAAAAGGAAAAGCAGCAACCACATGCATGCTGCTGCACAATTCACGGCAAGGCAACAACGGGGGTTTTAACAAATTAAACTCACGCCATGTTGCAACAACGGCGGCAACAGTGGCGGCACTCAACAGCTGTCAACGCGCATGTGATGGCCTTTCAGGCAATTATCTACGCCAACGGCCAGCAAGAACAACCAACCATTACGGATATGACGCGTTGCCAGAAATCGAAGCATACTACAACAATAACAACATCTGCACAACAACACTATAGTTTTGGCATAAATAGCATAAGTAAGCGGTAAGCGAGTGCTTCGTTCGAAAGCCAGCCATTGATGGTTGCGCATTTAAGGTCAGCAAACGGCTGCCGCGACAGCAAACGCTTGCAACAACATCGTCGACAGCAGCATTCATAGCAAAAACATGTGTGTGTGTGTGTGTATGTATATATGCAGGTATATTTGTATAAAAAGTTATAAAATATTTTTATAAATAGTTTAATAGCAAGGAATTTCAATTGGATTAACTGGCTGGCTGCCGCCGCCTGCTATGTCGTGTAGAGCTGCTGGCATGCGATTTTCTGTGTGTGTATGTGTTTATGTTGCAACCCATGTGCGCTGTGTCATGTCAAGCATTTATTTAGAAGCATGCTGGAACAGCAGCCGGACCAG